ATAATTTAAAATGTTTATTGTAACGTATAAACTACATTATGATTAAAATAATAAGTAATATTGAAATATTGTTTTTAATCTGTTTATTATATAGGACTTTTATATTTATTTCATATTTTATATTTATATTTATTTTTAAATTTATTAACGAAAAATTAGAGTAATATTATTTTTAATATAAATGTCGTATTCTGATCCGCGCATACAAAAAATGTTTTATATATTCGAAATCTAGAATCAATAAAAAACACGAGTTAATACCTCGAGGTACAGCACAGAATTATTTCAAGGTATGCCATTCAAAGAATGCCGCTAATTAGAACGAATAGGAGATACAAAAGATCGCGGACTATTGTTCCGGAAAAGAAAAAGGAAGTAGCGCTGGTACAGCTGGCACAAGAGAGACTCCCATAATATCCCATTTCGAGACGACGCTAAAGCCATGACGTAAATGAGTCAACCTACTACCTACGAGAGCAAGCCCGGTCGGGGGTTATATTTCATAAGTGAGCGGTTGCACCGAAAACCGCGCGACACTTCAAAGGTGCCGCGGGAGAGGCTTGAGGTCTACATAAAATAACCGAGGTCAAAAGTATCTCGTTTCTCGCGTTACACGACGGCACGCCCGTCCGCATAAATTCGAGGACCAAACTGTCATTGCAAAGGTTTCTCGCATGGCTACGCTCTTAGGTGCAATGCACACTCCGAATTGCAAGCAGTGACGTTTCGAGGCGTAAGCCCGCGGCACGAGATCTGTATGTGTCGTATGTATATCGGTTGTTATTGTGCGCGGCTCACTCAGGGTGAGCTGTCCATCATGGGGTTAGTACGTAAACAAACGTGCAACGTGATGCATTACGACGGTGATGCAATCCACGTAGTGATGGTAGCGGTAGTTTCACCGATAAATACATTTCGATATATAGTCTTGGGTTTCATCATTAATGAAACTTCGTAAACCGCATCTCGTTCGCCGACAAATTTCTTTCTACGATGACTCGATTGTGTCATCATCATCACTGTTTCGAAAATTTTCCCGATCATTTTTGCAAATTCCTCTCCAATATCTATCGAATATTTCTGAGCGTAACTTTTTGAACGTCACAATTTTTTACGGTTTTTTTCTAATTAAAACTATATGCGGAAGATTTAATCTATATCTCTTTTTTCTCGTTTATACGATACAGAGTTATTTGCAGGCGCTTTTCGCGATTCACACGGGATATCTTACAATTAATTCGTGATTGAAATACAAAGAAAGGTATAACAACAGGCTGCTAGATAGCGGATCAAATAGTTCTATTTGAAGTAATTTTTTATAAAAATTTCATTTGTGTCTCGTACACAGAGGACGTTTTTATCTATTTTCGCATTGCTTCAGTCCCCATGGAGATAGTCGTATTTTTTCTCGATATCAATCGGATTCCATGTTCACGATATCAATCGAATATATTGGTTTTCAGATATACGCGCGCATCGATTCAACAAGTACTGTACGTGCAATTAAATGTGCATTACTGCGAGATTTCATATCTCGTTCGCGTTGGTAGTGTGCGCAGCTCTGTAATGGCTTGCTGTGCAGCAGCATTTCTGGCAATCTGCGTCTTGAATAACAAAGAAAGAAAGAATTCCATTTTCAGATGACGAATAATGAAATTAGAAAATACAAGCTGTTCCATAAAAGGCATAAATCAACGATGTAATAGTATTTTCTCTTTCTCTCTTTCTCTTTATTTTGTTTCTCTTTCTCTCTCGTTTTGACAAATGTGAAAATAACTTTTTCTTTGCCTGGAAATTAAAAAGCGTGATCTAATTTAGAAAATAATATTAAAAATCGAAAAATATTTTAATCTGAAGATTGTAATGCTTCAGGATTGTAAGTAAATAAGAATAAATTAAAAAGAATTCCAATTTGAAGTAAATTTTATTTAAACAGAGCTATAATCATTTTTCAGAATATTCACGTGTGTCAACTTTTGCTTATCTATGTACAATAAAAAAAAGCATTAAACGTTTTTTGTAGTATTATAAAAAAGCGTTACGACAAATTAACTGAAAAATTTAGATTAATTTCTAAAAGTTCTTTTTTTAAAACAAGAAAAATGCGTGATTTATATCATCTCTGGCTCGACAACTTTCATTATAATAATTTATTAAATTGTTCTCTTATATTAGAAATAATTGTAGATATATCTGCTTTAATTCGGTCTCGAATTTCTCGCTTGATTACTTAACTTAGATAACACATGGCGTTACATATATCTTAACCTTTGTAGGCTTTGTGGGGGAATGCGGGAATTCGAGAGAATGCGGTAGAGCATGCGAAGCAAACATTGTTAGCGTTTCTACCTCTTCTCCATGTGTGTGAAATAACTTCCACATTTTCTAAACGCTTACATAAGTAATATTTTGCAACATTTATTTATTTTAAGTATTCTTTTTTTGTAAAATACTTGTGGAAACATTTGTTGCTATAAAACATATTTTTGACAATTATTATAATTGCGATAAATGTTTATTAGATATAGTAAGTTTGTTATTAATTCTGTAAGAAACTTAAGATATTAGAAATAAAATATCGATAATTAAATATTATACAATAAAATTGTATAACAACGATTTAATTATTCATTTAACTTCAAGTGAGCTTTACTTTAATGCATTTTTAATTTAACTACTAAGGTATTCAGTACTAAAAATTAGAAGTTCCTCTAAAAACAGAGGCAATAAAATTTTGATCGATGAAAAATCAACTTCAAGTTCGCTAAAGAATATTGAAAGAAGGCTTATAAGTGAACCATGAAACTTTTAACAAAAGTAGACAATTAGAAGATCGAAAAGAAAGTTTTGCAAGATCTTTACAAACTTACAAAGCCTTTGTTTGTCGAATTATGTACTTTTATTGAGGAACAAATTGCAAGATTATTCGGTTTGCAGTTTTGCATTATTTTTTTTTCAAAATTCAATGTTGCGAAAATTTAATAGATATTACATTGCATGAATACGTCATTATATAACAAAGCTCTTTCCGCAATATAATATTAGAGCGGATTTTTTTTTCTTTGATAAGACTAGCAACATTTAATCTCATAATAGAAAATTTCATGATCCGTTAGGCAAACTCAAGCGTTTTTTTTAATTTTCCATTGCATAGGACAAGAAAGTGTGCTCGTGGGAAAAGAAATGTAGCCTTCCTTTGGACGCTTACAAAGAAAATCCCGGGCGCTTAAATATGACGTAGCGACCGCCTTCTCATAATCTGTATTCAACCGCTGTAATCACTTTCGCTCACTTCTTTCCGAGATTGAATTTCACGGTAGCTGTTTAAAAAGCGGAATTTATATTCGGCTGGGCGCACTTACTGCGCCGGGGGATAAGCATCAATGCTATTTGGTCATTAAACATTGATCGAGATTCTTTTTTGCTCGTGTCGCCGTATATCACACTACATCGTGCGAATTGTATAATTCTTCAATTGAGAAAAAATGTGAAATCAGCAAGTACTCTTGTGTGTAATGCTCACATTTCTGCCGATATTGTTTGTTGAAGCTAACATTAAGCTTTTATAACGTATAAATTATTATAAATTGCAATATACTTATATTTATATCGAGATCTTTATTCAATAGTATCTCTCATTAAATTCGATTATTAATTAATTTATTAAATTATATTATATTCTGATATGTGTCAAACATTCTCTGATGAGAATATAAAAAGTATATATATATTTGATAGAAAAGTAAATATTTTATATTTATTTATATTTAATTATTAAACCTAATAACAGTATAGCTGGAAAATTTATTTGTTTATTTTTGCCTTTGAAGTTATTCAGAGCTCAGAGTGTATATTGTAGATTATTGTAATATTTAGTATAAAACTGTAGTGGCTTCTCACTATAAAGTTCTTTCATTATAGTTGCTTTCTGTTTGGCTTCATTTGATTGATCACGATCAAAAATTACTCTCTAAGGTTCAATTTCACTGCTGATTGTTATTTGAGAAGATTATGTTGCGTTTCTCTCGTAATTGTTTTAGATGTCTTTGCATTTGTAAGTATTCTTACAATTAATTTCTATAGGATGTACCAATAATAGGCATACCGTGTAAACGTGAGCTATTTTATTTTCTCCTTTGTTTACGTATAACAAATAGTATTTAATAATAATAACAATAATAATTAATAATAAATAAAATAACAATAAATTAATATATGTATCCCAAAATAAAAAATGTTATGTAGCACATATCTTAGAGAAACATTTACTTTTTTATATTGATTCAAACTTGCAATTATAAAATGCAAATATAAAATAATCAAGAAGAGAGAGAGAGAGAGAGAGAGAGAAATTATGTCTCGCAAAATCTGTACATATCAAAAATACGATGAGTAAAAACTCTATTGATCTATCGTCTACATTGATAAAAATTTCGATAAACTTCTTACAAATCACTCTACCGTACGATTCATCCGAATAACTAACTTTCGACGCCATCATGACTCCCGGAACGATAATGATCCATTAAGAAAGCCGGAACTTTGTCATTCCGGCCAATACTTTCGGTTCGCTCGTTGCCGCCGCCGCTCGACGAGAACCGATCTCGCGCAAAAAGACAAAAAGGAAGAGAGAGAGAGAGAGAGAGAGAGAGAAAGAAAAAAAAGGAGAGACATTAATCGGGAGAATACGGCGCCAGGAACGCGGGCCGAGTCTTCTAACTTTCCATCGAACTGGAAACCCTCGTCTTTGTACTTGGCGCGGGACGTCGTTGAGTGCGCAGGATGACGAAAGAGAGCGGGGTGTCTGGTAGGGCGAGTATTCGCCTCCCGATTCCGGATGAACGGATTTCGTTGAAAGCAGATTTACATTTCTCCGGCTCTCTCTACGGCGTCCCACCCTCTCACGCTCTATCCACCCCTCTCGCTGCGTTCGTAGCTTTTCTCGCGACATTTTCTTCATACATTGTTCTAACGATGGGCTCGCGCTTGATTTGTTGCAGGTGGAGGCAACCGCGAGGCAACAGCGGACGAAAGACGAGGACGGGGCGCAATGGAGCGAGATCAATCTCCTCCTTCAGCCGTTTCATTACACGAACGGCCAATTGACTCTACGTTGCACCGCCCAAATACCTGATGGCATCTACTTGAAGACGAGCGAACTCCAGCTCGGCACGGGTCTACGCGAGCCCGTGCCCGAAAGAGGTGACTATAAAAATTTTATTTCCATGCCCTGTAGTATCTTATAAACCGTCGGTCGCGGATTTTTGCGCCTCATAAATCCGTTCTTCGGATCTCGCAACTCGTTGGCTGTTCTCACGAACTTTCGCGATATAACGTGTGCTATTACGCCCGATTCGATCATCCGAATCGAATGGCGTCGTTTAGAGATAATTATGTTGAATTGGAGAAAAATTGAAAATATTCTGTACTCAGCTTATGATTTAACACATTTCTCTAAATTACAATTTAATATTTTCATATTTATACGCTACATTCTCTTACTTCATCTAATTCGAGCCAACTGAGCTATTTGAATGATAATTGCGTTTAGTTGCCAACGTGAATATATTTGAGGAGAGAAATACCCAAGGTCAACGTAAATTAAATCGAGTCTGATTAAGTTATCTCAAGTTAAATTATGTTCGATTAGAATCAGATTCCTCGCTATCCGATATCGCTATATGCAATCTTACCAGAGGATTAGTATGATATCCTTCTCGTGACATATCGGTAATTATAGCAAATTCAGTAGTAGAGCTCAACGAAAAGATCTACGGGAGAGAAAGAAAGAGAGTGATAAATAGTCAAATAATTTTTTTTTTTTTTTTAATGGCACGATATTATTTGATCTGGATGCTCATCTCTATTTTTTTTATAACTTTGCGACCAATATCAACACTCTGCGAGTAATAGTCGCGCGCGCTCAGGCTACTGGAGCCAGGATTAGTCGGTCGGTCGCACGGACTAATAAATTTCGAGAGCGGGGTCCACCCACTTGAAATCGGTAAGGAAGCCTCCGGTGCATGCTGCGCTCGCTTCCTGCACGCGACGTCGACGAGATTTAATTGAGCGGCCACGGATATAACCGACGCTTCCATTACCCTTCCGCTTGACCGACCTGTCCTTTCGCCCTTTGCCCGCCGCATCCGCCGGCGTTCCAACTTTCGTCGTCGCGTGTACGTGCGCAGTCACTGCTGCACCGATGACGTCTGCCGTTTCTCTCGTGGATGTTGCATAGATGCGAAATAATTCACGAGAGTTTTGCTCGGAAATACAGATTAAAGTTGTGAATCTACTTGAAAATTCTCTAAAAGCCAGTTGCTCGCGATACTAATCTTAGTGTATATCTCTCAAGTATTTTATTTTTTTATAAAAATTAATCTCCATTCTAGAAAAAGATATAAATATATTTTGTATTTAATTATATTTTTTGAAAAAATTGCAATTAAATTATATGTCAATATAATACTGTAAATTATTCGCCTATTCTATAATATTTTATTCTTTCAATTATTCAATTTTTTTTTTACAAGAAGAAGTAGATAAGAATTATTTTGCAATGATATCATTAAAAAATTTTAATTTTACTAATTTTAGCGCTTAGAAAATAATCACTGTCTTTTATTATAAAATTGGCCGACGCGCGATTGCTACATTTAACGTATTCAATCCCGTTGTGTGTATGTGTAATGTTCAATCTCATTTCGACAAGTTCAATTTTGTTACAATCGTGCACTATTAATCCTGTGCCAGAGATCGGGAGCTAGTTTAAAACCTAGCTTTGAAATTGCAGCAGTATGTGTCAATAGATTACACTGATGCAACTCTCACTAGCAGTGTCCCCGTTGGCAATCCCAATTTTATGATCGCATTCGTACCCTGCGGAATCGAAAAGTATCGTCTGCCGATAATCTATATCCTGGTGTTTTGAATCTGGCTCTCCATGGATTCTGTTCAAAATACGGGTGATTGGATACTTCCGCTCGCTCGACAGTCGGGAAAATATCCAGTGGGTTTTTGCGCATTGTGCAATTCGTCCCGGGAAAATACGATGAACGTATAAGCGTTGTTATACACTTTTTTGTCTCTTTTATATCTTGCTATGATATGGCATCCCCCTGTTTTCCCAGAAAAGCCACACGTTATACATGAGTTTTATTGTTTGCTATTATGTATCATACTGCGTACGGTTTTTTGGTTAATAAATACCATATTCCATTTTTCAACGTTGCACAATCCATGGTACGTAAATTGTTATCGCTACAATCTGGCACGATATTCAAGCTTTCGTTTTACGTTACTTTGAAAGTTTCCTTTCTTTTTATTATTTTAATCGAAATAGTCCCTTAAAAGATTTCTCTGCGAAATTTTATTTTAAAATATATATTTTATACGGTGAGGTAAAAACTATATAAATTAACAATTTTCGAAAGAAGATTAACAATGTTTAAAAACATTTTCAAATGGTCAACTTAAGAGAAATTATTACTAAGAAACGTAGCTAACATTAAAAATATTAAAGAGAATTCAACATCAAAGTGCTCGCAGAAACCATGGATGAAACGTAGTACGAGAAAAGACTATATAGAAATTTTAAAGATCTTGTCTCTACATTTACGGATGTAAACTTTTATTGCGGGAAGATATAGAATATATTTGCGCTCACAGAATAATGTGAGGGATGTTGCCGTACATCTTTTAGCGATTTTCTTCCGCTGACGTGAACTGAAGTTTAATATGTGAAACGGTTGCAAAATAGATGGATGACTTGAAGAGATGGTTGGCAGGTGTTGTCGCGAAGACCGTCGCGGAGAATGTTCATGAATTCGCCGACGTAGTTGGAGCCTTGAAAAACTTCTTATCACGATATTGAGGATGATGCTGGCGAGCGCATGATATGCAGCGCGTGTGCCTCTTTAATATGTCAAGCTGATAAACTCGCGTTATTTCGATATAGCCAATCAACTATGCAGTGGTAAACCAGAGTTATTCCGAGATAGGTAATCAACTATGCTGCGGTAAACCGAAATATCACACGTAATATGAAGCTAAAGTACAGCGTACAGATATTACAGTATCCATTGTTACAACAGTATAATACGTACATGTATCGTCTTGTAAGTTAGAATATTTTCTATTTTTTAATGATTCTCGCACGTTCAATTCGAGAGGCGGACACTGATGAATTCTGTCGGCGATATCAATAAAACATTTTGACATATAATCTGCCGGGTAATCCCTTTTCCAAAGTGCGCACATACATGCATTTTGCGAAAATAAAGGAAAATCATTTGTACGCGAAACAAAATTAACGTGCGTACATTCAATCCTGTACACAAGTTGACCAGTTGCCAGCGGCGTAAATTTAATAAATCGCGGCGAAACGTGGATTACGAAACATATAAAAATTTCGATTTTAGCGCATAGCGACATTTATCAGAAGTTGGTACACGTCTGACGGTACCATAATCACTTTTCCGCTGGGTCGTGTATTAATCCCTCGACATTTTTCGTTAAATATTATTCGCATCTGTCGAGCTACTGTACTGTTAAACTACCGGGGAGCTCGGTTCACCTCATATTTGTTTATTTTAAAAAGGGCGGAGGTCTATATTCCGACGAAAGCGAGACGTACATTTTATTTTCAATGACATTTGCCCGATAACATTTAATAAGCGCCGATCGCATGCAGCATGCAGCATGCAATGTGCAGCGTTCTATAAAAGACTTGTGTGGCATTTACAGAAAATAAAAGCGACCACAAAAATAGTATTTTTTGTTTACGTTAGTTTTTTTAACTCAATAACTCGCGTCTTTTATACAATGTTCGATTTACATATAACATTGATATAACATAATATACAACATAGTAAAGCGGACGTTAATTTTTGCAATATTCTTTCTTTTCAATTCGATATACGTAACATCATTTTATAGTGAATGCATTTTTTGATTTAGCCATTTTATAACATATTTAATTCTAGAAAACTGTTATTGGTAACGCAGTTTTAAATATTTTTCCCGTTTATATTTTGATGTATGTTTTATAGCTATTACAAATACATCAATTATTATATGTTGCATATAACTGATATGTGTATTTATTCAACTTTATGTAATTATTGTACTGTGCTTACAAAGTGACATTAATAATATTTAATATATAACTGTATGACATAAAAAATAATACGTGTAAATATCAAAACATTTAACATCAAGTTTATTTTACCCCATATAGTATTAAAAATTTTACTTGTCAAATTGATAACACTAGTTTCACGTTTCCTAAGTTTCTATTTTTTAACTTAAAACACATGCAAGCACATCAAAAATATAGTTGCATGAAATAAAAATGGAATAAATCTAGAAGCTCGAATAACAGACAAGTATGTAAAAATATCATATATTTCTTGACTAACGTCGATCAATACTAGTTTCGCGTTCAAGTTACAGAACTTGTATACATGAATATAATCATATTGAGTCAGGGAATATGCATTCGCCCCAAAATGATGTTATATAACATCTCCGCGCGCGTTACGCGAGATTGCCTTTGCTCTGGAGAGTTTGTTCCCACGCAGAAAAACTCGCGTCGT